CCCTCCCTCCCTCCCTCCCTCCCTCCCTCCCTCTCTCTCTCTCTCTGGAGAATAAATGTTAAACATAGCCACGGCATGGTGTCATGTGGCACCTGTTGTCAGTCCTGGAGCAGAGTTGACACGGTCGGTCGTCACCTGAACCCTTAGTTTCCTGGTTTCACTTGCTGAGCTGTCTAGTATTTCTTAATGTCTCCTTTCCTCTTGTCCTCTGGATGAGAGGCCACAGGGAGCAATCCTGGCTCCTTTGTCTCCGCTTATCCCCACAGTGGTGTCCCTGAGAGCTTTCATTGTAGATTCCACCATGTAACTGGTCTCAGTTTCCAGCTTCAAACAACCTGCCTCTTCTCTTACAGCGTTCTGGTTGCCCTGCAACCCAGACCTGAGATGCAGGTGGTTTCCTGGGAGACAGTGCCAAGATGCTGAGGGGAGGGACAGGGGATGTGAGAAGGGGAAAGTGCGTTCTCAAGATGACTGCTTTAAAAATTGGCACCTCATGTTTGCTAAGATATGTGCATCACCAAGGAGACAGGAGACTTAGCCTCCAGATCCTGTCCCTGCTAGGCTGAGGGTCACCCCCGCTGTTCTGGGTGGCATGGGTTCACATAGCTTTGATCCCTCAGGACACTGATTGGTGGTGGGAACTGGCCACCGTGTGGACAACAGTGATTGGTTGATCATGTGGACTTTCAGGAACCTCAGGGTCTTTCTCTATAAAATGAGACCCTATTGCTTTAACAAAGTTGTTCTGAGCTTGGAGATAAAATGCCCAATCTCGAGGACACATCCTAGGGCTGGGTAGTGGCTGGTGGAGGAAACCAAACATTGATTTCCTCAGAATCCTGTTTGGGGGAATGGCTTGAACTCAGGTCACTACTCACCTTGCTTAACGGCTTCTTCAACAAGCTTCGTGTGCAAGCTCAGGGCTCTCTCATCTACCACCATGGAGGTCTCCTTCCCCAGAGCCTGAAGGAAGGTGGCTAAAGCAATGGCTCCTGGCGGGCCGTCTGTCTCCTCTGGGGGCTCGTGGTTGACATGTGTGGGGAACCCAGTGGTGACTAATATGGAGCGGGCGTGAGACAGTGACAGCGCAGCCCGCAGCAGCTCATCTTTGTGTAGCAGGTGCCTGATTCCCCGGTTCCCTAAAATCACAAAAATAAAGCAGAACTATCTAGATTACTGTGCTTAAGGTAGAAACACTGATAGTGTGGACTGTTTGGGGTTCAGAAGTCATATGGTGGGCTGTATCAGGCTAAACTATTCGTAGGGATGCACTTCCATCTCTGGTCTTCTGCCTCTCCCCTCTCTCTTAGCTAGGATGGCCACGAGACTGGCTTAGTCTCAGGGAGCCCGAGGAGACAGCAGGTGCATGGCCTTGTTCTCCCAAGTGTTCCTCCAAGCACGCCTATGCTCTTCTTATTTGAAATGTTGATAGCTACAGCCCGATATGATGGCAGAGCCGCTGGGACCCCAAGCAGCTGGGGAGAGCAGAATCCCTCCCTGCTGACCCAGAATTCCCTGAAGACCTACTGTGTGCTGTTACATGGACATAGCACGGCCTTCTGCGGCATTTGAGTGTGGCCTGTTGAAGTTCATTTGTTAGAATAGTTTAGTGAAGCCTAGTAAGAAGAATAAATAAAGATGAAAGAAAATGGCTTACATTCACTGGGAAGTCCTCCCCACCAGCCCAAGATGAGGTCTGGGGTGCAGGTATTCCAGGAGACAGTTATACCAGAGAACACAGCAGAAGATGAGACCCAGAGAACCACTAAAGGATTGAGAGTGAGCCAGTTAATCCCGAGGGCAGCTAGAACTCTGTCTTGCTTGAGAGTCACCAAGAAGCCATGGAGGATGCAGCCTAGAACTGCCCTACCAGAGGACCAGAGGCTACCCAGTTGTTCATTGACTTCTGTCCCCATTTGGGGGAAAGGTTGCTCACGAGGGGGTCAATTTCCTTGTACTTTGTTGACTGTGCCTCCTATAATAGAGACAGATATAGACTGTCCTCTAGTGGAAGAGTTGAGCAAACAGGAAGCCATCCACTGTCTCTGTAGAAGACCCAGGGGACAACGGCTAGCACCAGGCCCGGCTAAGCAACACCACTTCCTGACTCTTATCCATACTGTCATGCCTCAGTCTACCCTCACGTCTCTTTCCTACAAGTGCCACATGGAGGCAAGAGTGTGACTCAGAACTTCCACCCCAGCTGGGCCACCTCAGAACAGGCCAGAGGGATGTGGAGAGGAGCTGAGCTTCACAGAGAGAATTAGGGATGCTGAGATGCAGGGTTTGGACTCCCATATGGAGGTACCATTCCGAATTGAGACAGAAACAACTCAAAGGCAGGACCTGGCACATGAGAGCTGTGTGTCCTTGGTCCTGTATCTGGGTTTTCCTACATGAAAAATGAGGCGGGTAGCAAGATGGAGGGAGTCTGTGGAGACAGAAACTCCCAACTACTGGGTTGTTGGAGGGGGAACTGGAAGCTGGGGCCTGGAAGGTGATTTTCTTCAATGTTTTACAATTCTCTCATCTGTCTCCGGCATCCCTAATAAAATAGTCACAGGCATGTGTGAAATTTAGTGAGAAGGGCGCCTACTATGGCCTTGTTTGTGGTCTGCTAGTCAAATGGCGGTACTCTCACACAATGGAAGGTTATGCAAACATTAAAAAGGATGTCGGGAACTGGCTGTGCTGACTCTTTCCTGTGATCCCAGCCTGAGGCAGGTGGATTGCCGAGAGTGCAAGGCTAGCCTGAGCAATACAGAGAGACTTGTCTCAGACAGACAGTATGTAGGTGTTATAGAGATCATTTCATGATATGGAAAGTCATTACAGTTTATTAGAAAACTTTTCATGGTGGGGTTCCATTACATATAGTCTTGCATGCAAAGATCTGGGACCAAAGGGGATGACTTTAGCGGCAAATACAAGCCTACTAATAATTTATTGGTTGTGATGGATTCTGGTATTTCAAAAAGTGTGTGTGCATTTGTATGTGTTCTTGTGCGTGTGTGTGTGTGTGTGTGTGTGTGTGTGTGTGTGTGCATATGGAGGCCCAAGATTGATATCATGTGTCTTCTTTGATTGCTTATTCCATTCCATTTAATTTCTTTCTTCCTCCCTCCCTTCCTTTCTTTTCTTTTCTCCTTCCTTCCTTCCTTCCTTCCTTCCTTCCTTCCTTCCTTCCTTCCTTCCTTCCTTCCTTCCTTCCTTCCTTCCTTCCTTCCTTTCTTCCTTCCTTCGAGGCAGGGCCTCTCACTGAACCCAGAGCTCACTGACTTGGCTAGGCTGACTGGCCAGTGAGCCTCCAGGATCTACCTGTCTGCCTCCTTAGCTTTGGCATTCCGGGCACACACTGCTCTGCTGTCCCTACTTCCTGTACGAGCTTGGGACTGAACCCAGCTGCTCCCGCTGGGGACATGACAGGCACTTAACCAACTGAGCCATCTCCTCAGGCTCCAGGATTCTGGTCATTTTATTGATTCTTTACTTTCATACATTTTCTTTCTATAACTTCATTTTAATTAGATTTTTGAGACTGGGTCAAGTTCCGATATTGAATTAATGACCCCTGTATTTAGCAGGCTGAGGCTATTTTCATGTATTTTCTGACGGTCCTACGATGAGCACGAAATCATGACAAGACAGAGAAGAATAACAGTATTTTATAAAACAAAACTGGGTGTAACGTGCTTCTTGGCTTACGATGGGTACTGAAGAGAGAGCGAGAGGAGCGTCTGAGCAACTGAAAGCTGTGTTCATCACACACACACACACACATATATTTAAATATATATATGATGATTTCATTACCAGCGCAAAAACCATTGCTATAAATCTTGCACCCTCCATATCCTCCAGACACCTCAGACGCAAGTCAATGTCCTCTTAAAAATGACTGAGTGGCTCTATTAATAAGCCCAGTGAGTAATGCCCAGCTCACAGCACACTGCCGTTAATCTTACATCTGCTTATTCGAGTGGGAATTGAAATCATCTATTGTTCTTGCAGATTAAAGATAGTTTTTCACAGATGAAATCAGCACATCAGACGGTCATAAATCTGCCTCCTCTGGGACTCACGCCTCAAGCCTTGCCCCCGTCTGCAGGAGCACCTAAGGGAGACATTGTGTCTGACGTTTCTGCTCGCCCTTACTACGCGATGGGTGAATGGAGGTGGCAGGAAATCTACGGTCAGCCCCTTCTTTTAAACTCACAGCTAATTTCAGAGTTAATAATTCATCTCCCCTATGACGCTGCGTCAAGTAGGGGTGCCATCAGCTTGGGTAAGACTGCCCGGGAGGAAAAAATTATTATGGAAAAAATTAAAATATCTACCCAGGAGATTGTGGGGTACTCTTTAAAAAAAAACTACATGTATTCATGTGCTACTCTCTGCGCGTGTGCATGCCCATGTGTGTGCCATAGCCTGCGTGTGGAGGTCAGAGGTGATTCTTTCCTACCACATGGGGCCTGGGGATAAAATTCAGTCATCAGCTTGCTAGCAAGTGTCTTAGCCACCGAGCCATCTCACTAGCCCAAAACACTCCTTTTAATTGTTCAGGCAAGAACATATAGAACTCTATGTGCACCATGAGCATGCCCTTAGTGGTGTTTTTGTGGTAGGCATATATGATGAATTTACTATGTATTCATATGTAAATAACAGTCTCTAAAAAATGAAAAAAAAAAAAAAGCAAAATAAATAAATAAATAAATAAAACAAAACCAAACGTCCGAGAGTTTATCAGGAAGCTCAGCAATGATCATCATTCCAGCCATGGTGGACAGAAGCAGCCATCTCTAAGATGGTCTGCTACCTTGAGTCCTCGGTTTGGCCAGCAGGGGTCAGACTTCTGGGGAGGTCTGTTTCATAGCACTGCGGGGTGGGGGGTAAGTGGGGGGGGGCAGCGGCACTGCTCTCTTTAGACAGTCTTCTGAGGCAGCTCTGTGGTTCCTGGGAGTCTGGCCCAGGAGTCTCCTCTGCACGCTGGCTCATCCCTCTGTGCTCTCTGGGTCCACACTTACTGATCCCAGTATCTGACTGGGAAATGGGAATCCGTGAGACTCCAGGAGAGGCCATGTAAGTCCCAGACATGGCCAGATATTTCAGTTCTCACAACACCACTCCAGAGAAGGTACAGGAGGAAAGGGATATTCTAAGGAATGCTAGAGAACTTCTTAACTGTCCAGGCAAGAAAATGACACACAATTTATATTTCAGATTCTAATTTACACAGCATATACAAACCATGGACGACAGAATCAGCGGACAAGGGTTCAATATCTGCCCCAACCACCTACTGTGAATGTGGACTGGGTAATTCTTAGCCTTATATGCTTGGGTTTCTTTTACTAACTGAGGTTCATATTAATAATAATAATAAAAAAAAACCCTGTCTCTTAGAGACACTAGAACATTTACTAAGATGGAACATGTGTTTGCTGATGCCCAGAGGTAACTATAGCACAACTAATGTTTGCTATTTAGCGCAACGCTGGCAGGGAGGTGTAATTGTCTGTAGTCTTGTTACACTGATGAGGAAACAGCAATTGTCTAGTGAGGGAAGGCCATTGGACTAACTGTACTATGCGTAACAGTCGGTGACACAGCGCCCTCTGCTGGCTACCTGGGATTAGAACTTCATCTCCCAGATGCAGACCCATCCAGAGGAGAAAAGCTATCAACCAGTTCTCCTTAGACCTCCTGTCAGCAGGCTCCCTAGAAGTTCCCAGCAGCCTTGTCCTATGCTTAGAAAGCTGGCAGCTAAACCAGGTGGTCGTACGTGGCTGTAATCCCAGCATTCAGGAGGACAGAGGCAGGTGAAGCTCTGTGAGTTCAAGGTCGGCCTGGAAGTGAGTTCCAGGACAACTGGGTTTGACTGTTACACAGAGAAAATCATCTTGAAACAAAAACAAAACAAACAAAAAAGAAAGAAAGCTAGTGATTTACAAGCTGAAGAAGGGCAGTTATTTCCCTGAGATACAGAATACAGTATACAGTCCTGCTGCACAAGGCTGTAGCTTAGCTGCCTGGCCCTGCCACTGGGTTCCCCAAAAGAAAAGCAATCTTACACCTTTAATCCCACCACTTGGGAGGCAGAGAAAGGAGCACCTCTGTGAGTTCGCGGCCAGCTTGGTCTACAGGAGCTAGTTCCAGGGCAAGCACCAAAGCTACACAGAGAAACCCTGTCTTGAAAAACCAAAAAACAAGAAGGAGGAGGAGGAGAAGGAGGAGGAGGAGGAGGAGGAGGAGGAGGAGGAGGAGGAGGAAGAAGAAGAAGAAGAAGAAGAAGAAGAAGAAGAAGAAGAAGAAGAAGAAGAAGAAGAAGAAGAAAGCAATCTTATGCCCCCAACCCCGATGCCCAGTGTTTAAGACATGCATATAAACTCACTCCCTTGCTTAGTATTGGAATTTGAAAAAGAACAGCCATAAAGACAACAAAAGTCACTCATAAAGTCCCTCCCTACAGACCCTGTGGTGGTTTGAGTAAAAACGGCCCTGTAGGCTCTTGTATTTGAATGCTTCCGCATCAGGGAGTGTTTGAAAGGATTAGAAGGATTAGAAGTGTGGTCTTGATGGAGGAGGTGTGGCACTGGAGGTGGGTTTTGAGGTTTCAGAGCCCGTGTCAGCACCCTCCTCCCTACTACTTCTCCAGCACCACCCCCGCCGTGCCTGCAGCCATGCTCCCCACCATGGAGATACTGGACTGGGCCTCTGAAACTGTAAGGGAGCCCCCAGTTAAATGCTTTCTTTTGTAAGTGTTGTTTTATGATGTCTCTTCATAGCAATAGAACTGTGATAGAGCCCTCAGTCTCAGCGTCTTGGTGACTATTCTTCTGGTCTTTTGGGGAATCATACATGGTATAATCTTTTAAAACCTCTTTGATTAAGTTTAAAAATTTATGTGTGTGTGCATGCATGCATGCATGCATGTGTGCTCACACACGTCATGCTGTGCATCTGGAGGTCAGGGGACATCTTGTGGAAATGTTCTCGCCTTCCAGTATGTGGGTCCTCAGGTTGTCAGTCTTGACTGCGAGAGCCTTAGCCAGCTGAGCCACCTTGTAGGCCTGTGTCAGCATTTTAAGGAACTATACTGTGGAAGGCTTGGACAGTTTGCCTTTTTCATGGAAGGCTTCAGTCACTAGGTGTAAATGTTTTAATTATTTATCTATTTATTCATTATATATATTTTTTGCGTGTGGTATATGTAGATGTGCATATAGGTATGTGTGTGCAATGTGTGTATGGAGGCCAGAGGTCAATGTTGAGTCTCTTTCTTAATCACTCACTCCTTATTTTTTGAGACAAGTTTTTCACTGAATCTGGAGTTCATTGATTTGGCTAGGCTGGGTGGCCAGGAGTGCCAGGGATCTGCCTGTTTCTTCAACCTCCAACACACACACACACACACACACACATACACATACAGACTCACTCACACACTCACATGCACACACATACACTCACACATACATATAAAATCACACACACAGACTCACTCACATGCATGTGTGCGCATGCATGTGCACACACACCCTATACTGGGATTACAGATACGTATTACCATCCTGGAATTTTCACATGGGTTCTCGGGTTCTGAACTCAGGCCCTCCTGTTTGAGCAGCAGCCACTTTCCCCATGGGGCTGTCTCCCCAGCCGTGAACACTTTGTTCTTACCTGGGTCTATGGCGATCATGGACTCCAGCCCTCTGATCTTTTGAACCGCAGTGGCTGACACTATGCTGTAATGCAAAGGGTCTTTGGAAATGGCGTGGACTTCTGGAACCTCCTCAGGAGTCGGACAGTTGGCTGGGGACACAGTGTCCATCAAGATCTTCACCGTGCACCCTGGAGTGCTGATGAAAGCCAGCGGAGCCTCTGAAACACACAACAGGTGGGGCTGTGACGTCACCCCACGAAGGGCCATCCACAGTGCCTGGGGAAGATGGCCCCAGCCCCAACTCTGTCAACAGGATTCGCTCCGCATATGCTGGCACCAGCCTCAGAAGGAGCTGACTTATGGCTAGAGCAAGTTCTATGTGAACAATTGCCTCCACTTTGTAGGAAAGTGGAGGTGGGTATGGCGGAAAAGTGAGGTGCTGCCACAGCTGGAGCAGGGGCTCTCAGAGATTCAGACTGAGATTAGTGCGTGAAGCCCCTCACTTTACCTTCTAGCAGATGTTAAGCTGGGTCCCCTCTGTGTATGGAGAGTCTGTTTTCTCATGGCATTTCTATTTCTCTTAAAGCAGCAACGCAGCCCTCCCCTGCTAGATAACGGCCCTAAGCGTACGCTAGCATCATCCTCAGCAGTGACTGCAGCGAGGATGATGCGTTCAAGTTTCAGGTGTGACTCCGCCCTTCCTGCACACATCCGTTACGTTATAAAACAACGGCCGTGCCTTGTCTGCTCGTCCTCAGGACTCAGCTTAGCAAACTGCTGGGGACTGAGTGAGCCTCAGTAGCGGTTTGCATCAGTGAGACAGGCACTGAGCCATCTCTTAGCCCTTGTGCCTAGCTTCTAGGTGCTTACTTAGTGTATCGACATTCTCCCCGCTGCCTTCCTTGGCAGCACCGTTCTCTTGGCGTACTTTACCTCCACCCGGCTGTGTGCTCCCTCAAGATGGGGCGCCGTTGTTTCTTTGCCTCGGATTCCCACACAATGCCTTGCACATAGTAGGTGTTAAATAAATATCAGTGTGAGATGGGTGGATGATATATTAGATTTCATAGACATTGTAACATTTCTTAGATTCAATAGAAAGCCAGAGTCAGCCAGCATCCAAAAGGAGCGTCTACTGATAGACACATGAGCTTTGCATATGACCTATAGAAGGTACGACCATCGACTCTGAGGAATGGTTACCTGTGTGTGTGTGTGGTGTGTTAGACAGCACCTAAAGTGATCACTGAAAACCAGGTACACACAAGAGCAGTGGGCTGAGAATATGGCACAAGGCTTTGCTCCTGGCAGTTGTGTGGGCTGTGCAGCAGCGACTCCATTGCTAAGAAAACTCGACACGCTGAGGTGTGAGCATGGTTCATTGTTGTTTCTGACTGGTGATGGCGTCTCTTGTCTCTTCTCACCCACCACCTGTACACATCAGATCTAAGCGGGCTAGGGTGTGCTGGGATGTTCCCAGCTGTGACATCTGCTTTAGAGGCACAGTCCCTGGTGGATGACAGGAAAGCCTGCTATGCTGGGGTATATTTACTGTCTGCGGTGGTTTGAGAGGAAATGGCCCCCAAAGGCAGTGGCACTATTAGGAGGGGTGGCCTTGTTGGAGGAAGTGTGTCGCTGTGGAGGCGGGCCTTGTGGTCTCATATATCCTCAAGCCACACCCAGTGCCTCAGACCACTTCCTGTTGCCTGCACAAGATGTAGAGCTGTCAGCTCCTCTTCCAGCACCGTGTCTGCCTGCATGCTGCCATGTCCTCCATGGTGATAACAGACTGAACCTCTGAACTGCAAGTCACCCAATGAAAGGTTTCCCTTTATAAGAGTTGCTGTGGTCCTGGTGTCTCTCCATAGCAATAAAAACCCTATCTAAGATGCTGCCTGTGTATGGATGTGTGCATACCTGCCCCCTTTCCTATCCCATACCTAGAAATGACCACTAGCTCCCCGAGGACGCAGCATTGCATGGCTGGCATATGGTAAGAACGTGGTGCATGAACTTTAATAACAGTAGAACCCGTGGATCATGCTGTCCATGTCTTGTCACCATATCAGGAAGATATTCTGATAGTTTAAAATAAAATAACATTAAGCTTGACTCTTCATAGTGGAATGGCTGACCTGACCAGAATTTTCCAATGTCTTTGACTACAGGCTGTAATGGTTAATGCTTGGTATCAGTATTTCCATCACATTCCTGTTTCTGGCCGCCAGGGGGCGCCATCTTCCGTCTGTTCATTGTAACTCTAGTTCAGCCCTTTTGTGTGCTACGATAATTTCTTTTAGTTCTTAATATCCATCCAACTATTGGTTGAAAATATTCAAAAGAAGATTATTTGTGTCTGGGGTGAAGACAAATAGGTTTATTTTCTTCTTGTCATTTACCCTTAAAAACACAGGCTAATGGACACAGAGAGATGGCTCAGCAGTTTAAGTATTTGCTGGTTACGGTTCCCAGCAGCTACATGGCAGTTCCCAACTGCCTGAAACATCAGTTCCAGGGGATCTGATACCCTCTCCTAGCCTCCGTTTGCTGCACATACACACGTGCAGGCGAAACATTCACACACATAACATAAGTAACCCTTTAAAACTATAACAGAACATCTATTGGCATTTACACTGCATTTGAAATCCCACACAGTCTAGCCTGAGTTGGAGTGTCCAGGAGGGTGGGAAATGGCTAACACTGCCTTCTTCTGGGAGAAGCTAGATTTCAGTACTGAGGGGTGTAGGGACTGGTCCTCAGCAGATACTGGAAACCAGCTTCGTTGTAAAATTCAGCTGTGTTTCTTGACTTCATCCTTTTGCTTTCAAGGCTCTACCAGTCTCAAAAGGTCAAGCTGAAGACCGGTTCTTCCATTAGATCAAGCTGTGAAACTTCAGCAGACGGAGAAGTATTTAATCAGAAGGTTCTTGCGCTAAAGACCAGCTGCTATGGTGAAGCGACTCAGCCCTGGGATTAAGTGGAGAGAGTGGGAGAGACACCAGAGACACTTGGCCTACATTCGTGTTCGTTTGCTGGTGCTGGGGGCAGGCTCAAACTCAGGACCTTAGGCATGCGGGAAAAGGGCTCTACCACTGAGCTACATCCCCCACTGTAGGCCTGTGTTTTCTGAGTTTAAGTTATTAATCTGTAAACCTGTGCTTTCGAGAACTCCAGACCCACCAGGTTGCATCTGAGATCAAGGCAGTTGTACCCTTGTACCCCAACATACTGCAACTGATGACTGCTTCCAGGCTGGTCAGCTGTGAAGGCCAGAACACTGGGACGTCCTCGGGCCCACACTCCACATAATTCCCATAGTCAGGCTTGGAAAGTTCCTTGATTCCCAAAAGTTCTGCAGGTGGAGAAAGAAAACAGGATTCCTCTGGTGGGTACCACATGGGTGCACTGAGTTCCCCATGGATGTTTCTCCCAAAGAAACGCTAGTTGGAGCATTATCTTAGATAGGAAACGAGGAAGGAGAGGAGGGGCAGGAGGAAGAGAAGGAGATCATAACGGTTAGTGGCTGAAGTTTTAACAGATAAGGATGTTCTGTAACTTAGAGCCCATGTTGACTGGGACAGTCAGGCCTGCCGTCGCCAACTGCCGGATGTGGTTTCTGGAGGGAGTCTTGTAGCACAGATTCCTAACAAAGCCAGCATTGTGTGTCATCTTGATACAGACTGATTAAGTTACACAGCTGTAACCTCTGTTATCGCTACCAGCAGCCCTAGCCTGGCTAGCAGTCATTGACATGCTGCCCACGGTGCTGACGAAGACAGTAAAGATGGAGGTATCAGACCCAGTTTACCCACATTCGTAAGACAAGTCAGTAGGCGTCCCCTGGGTGGTCCCGAGACTGTTCTAGGTGAGGAAGGCCAGTTGTGCTGATACTAATTTCATAGGATCAATTCTGTTGGTTACAAAGCTGGGCAAGTTCAAGTACACAGACCCTGGCTCTCACCCAGGCCAACCCCAAGCTCCCCTCTGGCCCTCTGGGAGCTCAAAGAAGCCTGAGAAGCATCCAGACTTTTGAGCTTGGATCTGTTTATCTACTCTCAGGATAAGTTAATACTCACGGCTTTCAGTTCAAATGTAAGCTTGAGTTTTATTTATTAATATTATTTTAGGTATGTGTGTGTATGTCTCCGTGTGTGTGTGTGTGTGTGACATATGCATGAGTGTGAGCAACACACGTGCCATGGCATGCATGTGAGATCAGAGCACAACTTGAAACAAAGCGTCCCCTGCGGCATGATCCAGGGATCATGTGAAGCTCACGTTCTGTGTGCATCACAAATCCTCAAGGTGGAGCTCATTGGTCTGGCAAGGTCTTAAATCAGAGGTCGCCTGGCATGGACCTCTGTGCCTTGCCCCAGGCTCGCACCCCTGAGACTCCCCTAAGAAAAGCATAAGCTACTAGATGCTTCTCAGGCCCACATTGGAATCACAGCTTGGGTGGACACTGACCTGGGTCGCCGATGTGGACTGGCTGTCCTTTCTGTCCTCCTATGGAGTGAGCGACCTGCAACAGCCTTTCCAGCTTGCCCTTGGGAATGGGTCTCATTGTGACCAGCAGAGGGCAGCAGAAGCCAGCAGTGGTGGCACAGGGCACTGTTGTCTGACAAATCAAGGGAAAATGTAAGGGGAAGGAAAATAAAGGGAATTAACAGAGATTTGAGCCCCGCACTCACAGCCCGAGAGGCTGCAGGAAGCAAGAGGTTCCAGTAGCTGCTACAGATACACACCTTCTAATGTCAGGAATCACACAGATGGGGCGCTTGGTCCATAATGAGTACCCCAAGACGTGTGTGCGCGTGTGTGTGTGTGTGTGATTTTCTTTTTGTGTATGTGTGTGATGTTTTTTAATCTGTCAACATTTGACACATCTTCTAAGTTGGACAGAGTAGTATTTCAACCGCATAAGAGAAAATTCATGGGTGGCACGTGTCTGTAGTCCCCGCACTTGAGGGCTACGGGAGGAGAATGGGGAGTTTTAAGGTTAGCGTGGGTTACACAATGAGATCCTGCCTTAAAACAGAAACCCATGGTGGGGGGCAAAGAGGTGAAGGGAGGAGAAGAAAGTTAAACATCCCAGAGGAAATCAGTACTATTTCAAATGCGCAAAAGCAGTTACAGTGAAAACCGAGCTCTCCCGTGCACAGCTAAGAGGACAGGATGGCAGGTCCACTAGGGCTGTCATTTTGGATTCTCAGCGGATAGGGTGCCTTTGAGAGTCTGAGAACTGCACTGTGCCGTGAAGCTATCTGTGGAATACTTTGCCGGCCACACTGCTGTAGGATCTGTCCATCCAACAGCCCTTTGTCACCGACATTGGGAACTGAAGGAAATGCTAGGTTTCAGCTGAGGTTTATAAAATGCACACGCACACATGCACACATGCATGTGCAGACACACACATGCATACACACACGCACACACATGCATGCACGCATGTGCAGACACACGCATGTGTACACATACATGCACGCACACACATGCACATACACGCACACACACACATCTTCCCATCCAGTCTCACGGGCCTCTGGGTTTTTTTCATAGACCTCAAGAAGCCTGTGAAGTTCTGACAGAATCAGAGGCAGAAGGGAGCAGATAACCCCAGGCGGAGTCCCTGTCTGCTCCACTAGATTCCACAGGGGAGGCGCCTGTCCCTGGACGCCCCAGTCCTCCCTTTGCAGAGTCTGCACAGGGCGACTTGAGTGGCTTTCGCTTGTGACACATTTCTTCTTCGCCTGCAGTGGGGTTTAGGACAGGTTCAGGACAGAGCCAGGATCATGATCCCCTGGGACAACCTTGGCTGCCACTTACTGACTTGCTGTTACCACCCGGGCAACAGTAGGGATGAAATTCTGGTGTGCTGCCAACCTGGAGTCCGTGTGACAGCGCCTGGGACAGAGGGAGGGCACATGCAGGCTAATTGCAAAGCCAGGCAGTGCTCCTAGGGGCTGAGATGCCCCTGTCTAGCTCTATCCAGACCATCAGTCGAATTCAACATGGCTGTACAGCACTCTCTCTCAGGATCGAAGGGCAGTGGCAAGGGGTGGGGTTGCTACCATACTGAAAGCTGTATGGTAACCATGGGAGAGGGAACAGCGAGGTGTCGTGGATAAATGACAGACTGTGGTTAACATCTCCTGTGGACATCTGTGCAAAGCTAAAGCAGTCATCATACCAGTCACGAGTGTGGTTTCAGTTGGCTCTAGGACTTGGACAAGTCCCTGTCTCTCACCCTCTAGGCCATGTTTTCTTCATTTCAAATGAGGGGCTGTGCTGATGAGTTTGAGGCTATCCCAGTTCTAACCTGCTACAAATAAATAACCTGCCAGTGGCTGGGACTCTCTCCTCATCCTTCACCAGTGCTCCTTGAAGGGCAGAGCAGACTGTGGACAATCTTGCTTCTGACCTGATGCAATCCAGACCTCTCTGACAGGAGCCAGAGTGGGGGCATTGTAATAAACAGTGCTCAAGATGAACTGTCTAGTCACTGAGAGCAGGGAGCCCTGGAGGCTAGTCATTGCACAGGGAGGCCTGGAGGCTAGTCATTGCAGAGGGACCTGGAGGCTAGTCATTGCACAGGAGTCCTGGAGGCTGGTCATTGCAGAGGGACCTGGAGGCTGGTCATTGCACAGGAGTCCTGGAGGCTAGTCATTGCAGAGGGACCTGGAGGCTAGTCATTGCACAGGGAGGCCTGGAGGCTAGTCATTGCAGAGGGACCTGGAGGCTAGTCATTGCACAGGAGTCCTGGAGGCTGGTCATTGCAGAGGGACCTGGAGGCTGGTCATTGCACAGGAAGGCCTGGAGGCTAGTCATTGCAGAGGGACCTGGAGGCTAGTCATTGCACAGGAGTCCTGGAGGCTGGTCATTGCAGAGGGACCTGGAGGCTGGTCATTGCACGGGAGGCCTGGAGGCTAGTCATTGCAGAGGGACCTGGAGGCTAGTCATTGCAGAGGGACCTGGAGGGCTGGTCATTGCACAGGAGTCCTGGAGGCTGGCCATTGCACAGGAGTCCTGGAGGCTGGCCATTGCTCAGGGACCTGGCGACATGGACACAAGAGTGTCTCTAGGGCTTTCTCGCCAGCCAGCCTAGCCTTAACCAGTGAACTCGGGTCGATGGCTTGATTTGGTTCCTAAGACCCACGGCGGAAGAGAAGAATTGATTTCCGTAAGTTGTCCTCTAACCGCCATTTGTGCCTTGCCCTATCCTCCCTTCTCCAAATAACTGCAACTGAGCAGAAAACAAGGTGGATTGACCGTGAAGAACACAGGTTGACCTCTGGCGTGAACACATCATAGAGCCGTGTGTGTACCCATGTGTGAATGTGTGTGTGTGTGCACGGACATACACACACACACACACTCCAAATGACTTTGATTGACTCAGCTTTAACAAACTGATCAAAAAGAGCTACACTGGATGCCACAGCCCTAGCAGAGGTGGGAGGGAGAGGGCCTGGGTCAGAGGCTCCTGGTTTCACCTGGAAGAACTACTGAGCTGGGACTGACCTTAGGGCTTCAGCTTCCTGTGCCAATGTTCTCTCCAGCACAGGGAAACACAACTCCATCCACATTTTCAAGCCGTTCTGCCCGAGGTGCGGCCTTACCTTGTATGCTCCTGCGTGGCTGGGTCCTGCTGGGTCTCTCCTGGGAATCCCTGCCTGCTCCAAGGCCTCATCTATGGAGAAGCTACAGTCCAGGGTGAAGGTGACCATGTCCTTCAGCTGCTCTGAGAACTCTCCCAGTGAGGCCAGGATGCCCGTGCGGACGCCAAACTCGTATTTCTGAAACTGTGGGCAGATGGTCCTGGGGACACAAAGCGATGCTCATAGGCCCCCGGCTTTTATTTTGGTCCCCAATGTTGCACTTTTTAAAAGGGCAGTGGAGGGGATGTCCGAGGCTCACATGTCTAGGGGACTTGGTTTCCGCCTTGGGCTTGACTGGTATTCCTAAAGCATGATTAGACCTTTTACTGAATGACGTGGCTCTCACCTCATTCAATTTCTCGAACCTCAACATGAGATCAGTCAGACCCACAAGAATAAAATCCTGGCCTTTCTGCCCTGGAGAGAATGCTGGCAGACCCAGACAGAGTTCACAGGGTCAGGCCTCCTCTCTCCATAGAGGAACTCTCCCGTGAGGTTGAAAGCCCGGTGTGGTACAAGCCTCACCTCTGCTCACCCCAGATCATTCTTCCTTTCTACTCATGTGCCAGGGGTGGGGTTGTGGGATGGCCAGGGTGTGACTCTACCTTCAGATACCTGCTACACAGAGCAGCAAGTGTCTAGACAGTGGAGAGACGCAGGAAGATGAGGCTTCCTCTTCTACTATGCTAGTCTGGATCTCGAGTGTCCCCCAGAAGCCCACGGGCTGATGCATGACCCAGCCTGTGGTAGTAGTGGCAGGTCTGGACCCTAAGAAGGTGAGGAGTAGTGAGGGGAAGTTGGGTCATTGGGGACGTCCCCTTGAGGACCAGGACGCTACTCCCCCATTGTCTTCGCCAGCCGCTTTGCTCCGTCGCTATGTCGTGCTGCCTTGCGCAGGCCCAAGCAATAGGTCGACCGTGAACTGAAGCCCCTAAAATAGCCGCCCGAAACAAGCCGCTCTGCCTTCACGATGTTTGTCTCGGGTGTTTTCTCAGTGTTGGAAAGCACACAACTCACCAAGGGGGAGGTGTTGGGTCTTGAGGCGTAAGTAGGGGTCTATAAGCGGGATAGGAACGAAAGCACACCTAGGTAGCGGTTGCAGAATGTGCAAAGCGTGGAGGCACTGAGTGTACCAGGTCTGTACTAGGATGCTCCAAGCTGGTAAACAGGAAGTACCAGTTCAGGCCCTAGCAGCATTTTCGAGGGGCCCTCTCATCCTCGAGTCTACAGAATGATAATGGTAAGCCTTCTGTCTGGGGAGAAAGCTGGGGGTGTCCTGAGTACCAGGGGAAACTGAGCTGGGGCCAGGTCACCACTGGTCTTGAGATGGCACCGAGGCACAAACTACAGCAGGCCTTGCAGACTTTGAAATAATCACGTGATCAGATGCGGCCTTAGAAAAGGCCACTTTTGTGGGTGAGCAGAAGAGGGGCACGGGGGCGGGGAGAGCGGGAGGAAGATCAGGAGAGAAGTTCCAGGGTCTAACAGTCTAGGTCAGAGAATGTGGAGCCACAGCTAGCCTTGCAAATGAAGCTAGGGCATGGTGGAGAGACATAGAGACAAGCTTGCCAGGGCCACCTATGAGGCTTGCTCTGCCATGCTCTTATGTGTGGAAATACATCTAGTATCCTTAGTGAATACCTGGCACTAGCTAGGCCCATAGATGCTAAGCCTCCATGTGTTCTTTCCCTTGTATTTCCACACCTGATGTTTGCGTTATAAATCAGATTCACAGTGACTGGAATGATATACTGTCATAAAAGTTATTTAAAACGTTGAGTTATTTATTCCTGAAATTTTCCATGCCGTATTTTTAGACACTGGTCACCCGTGGGTAACTGAAATTGTGGAGAATAAGCAGCCAGGAGCTAAGAAGGACATCTGCTGTTTAAGAGTCTGGGCAAGACAAATGGTATTTTCCTCTGGGGGTTAGTGATGCAAACATTGTTCTTTTCTTCCAGTTCCGGTGCAAGGGCTTTCTGGTGGGAATGACAAAGTGATAGGTGGCGGGGCCTGTCATGGTTAATTTTGATTGTCAATTTGACATGATCTAGAATCACGTGGGAAGAGAGTCTCAGGTTGGCCTATAAGGATGTCACTGGGAGATTGAAGTGGGAGGATCCATCTCCTGTGGGTGGCACCATTCCCTAGGCAAGGGGATCCTGAGCCGCACAAGAGTGGAGAGAGATAGAAAGCTAAGCACAGTCATGCTTGCATTTGTTTATTGCTCCTGGGCCAGGATTGGTGGGACACACCTTTAATCCCAGGCTGGGCGTGCAGAGGCAAGTGGACCTCTAGGAGTTCAAGGCCAACCTGGTCTACACAGCCAGTTCCAAGCCAGCCTTAGAGCAGGAAAGGTGGAGAGGGCAACTTGTATCTGAGCAGTGGTCATGTGACACACATGCCAGAACCTGTGTGGTCGCTAAGGCTGGATCAGTGTACCTTCTAATAAAGGACTCAAACTGCAGCGTCTTGCCACACTTAGGTCGACCGTAGCATAGGCTTCTTACCTTCTGTCTGGAACGGCACTCAGGCGGGGCAGCACCTTCTCCGGCTCACTCTGGCCCAGCAGGGGCAGAGGACCACAATTGGCCTGGCAGAAGCTTTCAAAGGCTGGTGCTAGGGATCTGGGTAGGACCACCACACTAGCTGGCTGGAGTCCTGGGTTGGGTGGGAGATGGGACAAAGACACACTTGGTTGATGCTTGCAGACCCTTGTTTGAGATGCACAGCAAAGTGTACTTAAGTGTGCAACACAGTTGTGTATGGTGGAGGAGCACACCTATAGTCATAGTGCTCAGGAGGCTGAGGCAGGAGATCACAGGTTTGAGGTCTGCCTGGGCTACATGGTGAGAGCGTGTCTCAAGAAACAAAAACAAACAAACAAACAGAAAGTGTATTTTTGCAAAATAAACATGTCCACCTAGCAAGCATCCAGATTGAGAGACAGCATGATCAGCTCCTCAGAGTCCACACCCTGGCTGCTCCATCCATGGTGCCACTATCCTGACTTCTAACCCATGACCCATCACTGGACTTCACATGACAGAACTGAATACCATACATATTTTAAGTTCTAATTCTTTCTCTAATGTCTAGGGCTCGACCCATATTGCATGTCATGGTAGTCTGTTCATGTGTTATGTATGGTGTGTGGTAATTCACATAATGAGAAGGGGAAGGACTTTTAACGGGATATCACAGATGGCACCACCCTGAACATGATAGAGGATACATGTGCTCTCTTATTTGACATTCACCTGGGCTTACGGTAGAAAACCCCAGTCAGCTTTGCTGGACACTGCCCAGCAGCTTCCCACTGTGGCTCTTCTGAGTGGTACAGCCACCCTTGGTGGGCATCTCTGGCACTTGGGGCTGCCCATCTTTTTCAGGTTTGCAGTCCCGGTGGCTGTGTCAAGGCGGTCACACTGCGGCTGCCATGTGCTCTGTTGGTTACCTGTCTCATTGCATGACAAAAAGGGAGAAACGGCATATTTTGTTCAGTTTCAGGGCATACGGCCATTGCATGGGGGAGGGCGTGGTACCAGGAGGCAGCTGGTCACGTGGTGTCCACACTCAGGAGGTGGAGAGTAAAGGATTCTAGTATTCAGCTAGTTTTCCCATTTTTTCTCAGTCCTGGGTCCATGGAATGACACCCTAATATCTTCCTACCTCAGTGACCCAGTCTAGAGAACCTTCCATAAACCCGCTCGGTTTCCATGGTAATTGTAAATATCATCAAGTTGACAGCCAGGATTTACCATCATATGTGCCTTGCCCTGGTGACTGACATGACCCAGTGCCTCTCATCTGTGTTGTTGTCTTTTGGCTAACCTTCGGCAGATGTTGACTGTCTGTGCAGATTGATTCCTGAAGCATGGACTCATGGTCTCAACGGGGAGGTGGGGGAAAGTCAAACAGCGTACCATGAGCTCCTCTGAAGCAAACGACCGTCCTGGGCATGGGAAAGCTCTCTGGTTTTGGACACAGATGACACTCATCTTGAGTCTTGACTTTCTCCCCAGCTCTGTCACCCCTGTGAAGTGACTTTTCATCTCTTGGCCTCAGTTTTCCCACCTGGAAGCTGCCACTAACAATGTCTACCTCAAAGAGACCTCCGTCAGTTGTGATCTGTCAACATCAAATCGTTGTTAAAGGAACAATGGCAGCTAAAATAGCATGCTTGACATAGCCTCTTTTTTATAAAATTGACGAAAGAACTCAAAGGGAATATATCTGATCAATCATGGCTGTCTACAGGTGATAAGACTGAATGACTTCAATGCTCTTCTCTGGAGACACCGTTTTCAGAGTTATAAAACTAAGGTTGTGGTTGGGCAGGTCCCCAAAAGTCCATGAGTTGGAACTTTGGTTCCTCGTCAATGGCTCTCAACCTCTTTATTCCTTCACTCCTTTAATACAATTCCTCATGTTGTGGTGACCCCCAACCATAAAATTATTCCATCGCTGCTTCCTAACTATAATCTTGCTAACTCCTATGAACTGTGATGTAAATGTCTGATATGCAGGATATCCAGCATATGCCCAAAGGAGTTGTAACTCACAGGTGAAGAACCACTGTCCTGTGTGTTAGTGGGAGGTGAAGCCTACTGGGACATTTTTGGGCCATGGCTGCAACCTTCTTGGAAGAGTCTATTCTTCTCGTGAATTTTTATTCTCATGGAACTTACTCAGACCCACAGAGGCAGTTGTTGCAAGGTGCCCCCGCCATTCCTCCTTGCCCTTCGACACACAACAACTTGCCTTCTGCTTTCCACCACGAGTAAAAGCTGGATGTGGCCCCTGCTCGATTCTAGAACCAGGCTCTTGGACTCTCCAGCTTCCCAAACCATGAGCTAACAGAAACCTTTCTTTTATAAAACCTTTCTTTTATAAACCACCCACTATGCTGAATAACCTTGAGCATCACCTTGATGGTCCTGACTTAGAATCACCATGGAAACAATCATCTGGGCCTGTATGGACTGGGTAATAACTGAGGTGGGAAGACTCACCTTAAACGAAGATGGCACCATTCCACGGGCTGGGGTTCTGTACTGAAAAAAAGTGGGCTGAGCAACGGCATCCATCAGTCTCTATTTCCTGACGGCTGATGCCACCTGACCATGTGCCTTATGGTCCTGTCACCTGGGTCCGTGATCCAGAACACACCCTTCCTTCCATAGGTTGTTGCTTCTGTTACATATTTTGTTACAGCCATGAAACAGGTAACCAACACACCCTGTCTTAGATTTTTTTTAAATGATTTATTTAACTTTATGTTCATTGGTGTGAAGGTGTCAGATCTCGTGGAACTGCATTTTCAGACAGTTGTGAGCTGCCATGTGGGTGCTGGGAACTAAATCTGGGTCCTCTGGAAGAGCAGTCAGTGCTCTTAACCACTGAGCCATCTCTCCAGCCCTCTTAGATGTTTTGTTACAACGATTAAGACAGAGACCACGCTACAGTCAGAGCTGTGCTCTACTGGAGAAAGAACCTTGAAAAGAGTTTTCCTAATGGCCAGATGTGCGCCGTCAACCTGTGGACATTTCTGCTCTACAAGATCACTGGGACACCATCGGCAGACATTTCCTGTGTGCTTACAGTGTTCCAGGTTGCTCTGGGCTAAGCGATTCGTGAACTCTTCATCATGGCGCTGTGTCCACTGGAGCACAGACTCTGGACCCTTGTGTGATGGGTTCAAGATTTCCTCAGAGAAGAGGAGTGAAGTAGACATGACCATCTCCTGGGAAAACCCCAGGACCAAGGACCAGCAAGCGGTGAGGCACTGCGGCTACTCATTACCTCAAAAGTGTCTGCCTGAGTCACCAACAGGCTTTCCGAGGGTGGATGCCCTGGGCACCCCAGTAGCCCAGAAGGAGAGGGTGCCCGTGCACTTTTCAAGCAGGCCACGCTTGGCTCCACAATGACCTGCCCCTGTGGGGAGGTGGCGGCAAAGCAGCCAGCTTAAAGGCCTCCTGTAACTCCTCGGCCTCTTCCCTCTGAAGCCTATTGTGAGGACAAATTGGATTTTTAATGCAATAAATCAGGGAGGCATTAGGGACACAAAGCCTCTTTGTTTCCTTTGTAATTAAATGCACTTCGGGAGCTGAGGGAGATGAATAGGAAAGTCCCGAGTTGTCCCCATTAGCAGTACAACATGGAATAAAGGCCACACGGCCCCTCTTTAGAGGGCGGTGGGTGGGCAGACCACACTTCTAGGTGAAGGTGCCTCACAGCCCAGTGTGATTCACACATCCCCCGGGCTCTCAGGTTCCATTTAAGGTCATGACACTTTCTCTTTGTGGAGAGAAACCCAGTGATTAATTCTGAGTCTTTTAACCAAAAATCGATTTTTTAGCAAGAAAGAGGGGGAAGCAAACCTTCAGTGCTGTTAATCAGATTAGAAGCCTGTAACACTGAGCCCTAGGCTGGAGTCCTCCAGCTTTTGAAGCGTGCACCTCCTGATGGATCATCCTACAGACGGCAGTTGGCTTGGAAGGAGCTTAGCAGCCCACATAGCCCTCCAGAAGGCTCCCGTGGAGGAGACTGTCCCCATTTTTTTTTTTTTTATTTTGGAAACAAGCCTGGGAAGGTCACATTGGTTGCTCATAGTGTGGCTCTAGTGAGGAGCAAATCTGGGAACCACACTCTCACTGTCCACTCTGGGGGTTCTGACCCACTGCCCCCTTGAGGGTCCAGGATGCGGTCACTGTCTGGGGTGAGACTCCTGTTTGCTGAAGGTGTACAATGGCTTTGCTAGACCTTGGGGGTCTTTTGTATAAATTCTGCTTCCTGCTGTTCATGTACCAACAGACCTTCTTCAATGGCTTGGGCCTTGGCCATGTGACTTGTTTTGGCTGAGAGGACATTAGTCTGTGGTGTGGACAGTCTTGGGTCATGGCTTGCATATATATCTTAGCGGACTGCTTTCTCTTGGAGTCCTGAGCTACCAACAAAACTGGCCACCATGTTGGAGAGTGTCTGAGTTTGCCTTTCTCTTGTGATGAACGCCATGACCAAAAGCAGCTTGAGAAGGAAAGGGTTTAACTTGCTTACACTTTCAGGCTACAATTCATTGTTTGGGGAAAGTCAGGGCAGGAACCCAAGAACAGAAACAGAAGCTGTGGAGAAATGCCGCTCACCGGCCTTGTGCTCAGCTGATTTTCTCCTATAGTCCAGACCCACCTACCTAGGGAAGGAGCTGCTCACCGTGGGCTGGGGGCTCTTGAAACAATTAGCCATCATGAAAATACTCCATAGATGCAGCCACAGGAAATCTGATTGAGAAATTTACCCAGTTAAGGTTTCCCCCTTCCCAGGTGACTCTCGGCTTCTCAAGGTAACAATGGAAGCTAGCCAGCGGACGGAGGCTCCACAGAAAGGAATTTTAGGCTTTCTGGTCCAGTCACCTCATCGGTCATCGGAGTGAGGGAGAAGGCATCTGGGATGGTCCAGCCAGATGGTGCAGGCAGAGAAACTGCTTCACCAAGCCCAGCGTCTGCTTGTGACTTGTGAAATTTATAGCTCTAAGCCATTACTCTTAGGGTGTTTTGCTATGCAATGATAGGTACCGATTAACCCACAAATAACAACCAAGGCCTTCATAGCAATCTGTTAAATAAGAACTCTTGTTTTAAGCACATTAAGCACACTACTGTCTTTTTCTTTGGTGTTTGCACCATAACCAGAGAAGTCTATAGACTACCTTTTTGTTCTTTCTTCTTTTGGTGCAAGGGATAGAATCCAGGGCCTTGAGAATAGTAGGCAAGTCCTCTACCACACTATATCTTAAAGCCTTAAAGGTTTGTACTGTGAAATGTTGGTGGGACTTGGATGAGTGGCATATCACATGTCTGCATGCATGTGCATGTGTTTCAGGACTTGGGGAGCACTGGCTGTCACGCCTAAGAGACAGTGGAACTATAGGTGCCACACAGAGAGTAAGGCCATCATAGGGTAGGGAAATTTGATCTGGAACAAGGGCAGTTTAGAAGACACGTGGCCCGTGCCTCTTTTCCCAGGGGGAAAAACAGTTCTTCTTCTCCTTCTCCTTCTCCTTCTTCTTCTTCTTCTTGTTTTATTTTTTGATTTAGCGTCTCAGTATGTAGCCAAGGCTAGCCTCAAATTCTCAGCAATCTTCCCACTCAGTGTCCAAAATGCTGGAATTATATGCATAAGCCACCATGCTAGCATAAAACCATTATTTTTATGGTCTGAGTCTGTGGGTAGTTCTCCATATGGAGTTTGGTAAGCAAGCTGAACCGGATAGCGCTAGACCCTCCCATGAGGTTTCCACACCTCAAAACTAGTCCAAACTGTCAGAACATTCTGGGAAGTTAAATAGTGACTATACCTAATCTAATAGCATGTTTGCTCTTTTTTTTCTGACTGACAGGATGTGCGTGTGTATGCATGTGCACACACACACAATTTACATACATATGCACACACACATGAGTGCACACACATATACACACATACTCAGGCACTGTAGTACACCTGTAATCTCAGCACTCAGGAAGTGGTGTCAGGAGGATCAAAATTTCAAGGTTATCCTCAACTGTGTAATGGGTCTGAATCCAGCCTGGGCTAGTGATGTGAAACCCTGCTTAATAAAACCAAACCAACACTCAGCCAAATGTCTAGTCCCGCTTACCTTCAGTCATGATGGCTGTGTTTCCAATGTGTGCTGTCTTTGGTAGACGCCTTATGGCAGAGGGAAGACGGGACCTCAGGAGAAGTGAAAAGAGCACCATGCTGTCCCCAAAGGGCTGCAGGGAACCTGCACAATGGAGGAAGGAAGAGGTTAGAGGTAGTTTCCCTATAGGTGCAGAGTTGGTGCAGGATGCTCTGCCCTGGGCTGTCTATGGCCAGGCACTGTTGAGGATAGCTCTTCCCCGTCAGGTCTCAGTGAGCTCTCTAATGCCTGTGACTTCTGCATGCTCTTCTCCCGACCCTATCTCACCCCCAGGGCCTCATCTTCCACAGCAGCAGCCCAGAACCCTGGTCTCTGCAGAGCAGCCAATAGGCTGGGACAGGCTTCCTCGCTCTCAGAACATTCTTTGAACTACTCTTGTGGGGCGGAACCCACGGCAGCCTAATGTTCAACTTGACTTTGAACACCATTTTCTCCCTAGTACCTGGCAGATGGAGACACGTCTTAGACTCCTTCCACAGGCTACAGAGCACCTAGGACAACGCAAGTATGCAGTACATCCCCAAATTCTCTCCCTGGACAGAATAAACGAGGGAGCGGCATTTATAGTTTCAGATGAAACCCCAGATTCACTAGCTGTCGCTGTGACTTTTGATGTTCAGACCGGGGGTCTTAGAAGGTAGGGACTTGGTGTTTTGTTGTTTATACTTCCTTCTACAGTGATTTATTTGGGCTTTGGTAAAAGAATATATGTTGTAAAATTTAAATACAGAATATGTTTTAAAATTACAATGAAAAGTTTAAAACTTGGGACTTGAAGCTGGGCAGTGGTGGCACATGCCTTTAATCCCAGCACTCGGGAGGCAGAGGCAGGCGGATCTCTGTGAGTTCGAGACCAGCCTGGTCTACAAGAGCTAGTTCCAGGACAGGAACCAAAACCACAGAGAAACCCTGTCTCGAAAAACCAAAAACAAACAAACAAACAAAAAAAAAACAACCCCCAAACAAACAGAAAACAACTTGGGACTTGAGCAATTACTCAGTTGGTAAAGTGCTTTGTTGTGTAATAAGAGGACCTGAGTTTGGATCTCCAGCACCCACGCAAAGATTCGTGCACACCAGAGTGGGCTTGAAAGTGTATGTAGCACTCAGGAGGTAGAGAGAGGAGGAACCCTGGGGCTCAAGTCAGTCTAACCAATCAGTGAGCTCCAGGTCCAGTGAGGAGAGACCTTGTCTAGGAAAACAAGGTGGAGAATGATTGAGGAAGATGCCCAGCCTCTAACCTCTATGCACACAGCCCCCAAGCATGTGTGAATGCATATGAACACATACACTGCATACGAAGTTTAAAGATTATTTTTAAAAATAGAAACGGCCTCAAAGCTGTAGGAAACTATGCCTAGAAGAAACCTTATAGGTTGATTTCTTACGTGGCCCTGAGTGTTCAGCTGGGTTAGCTAGCAGCACCCACCTCTGGCCCACGTTCTTTTTATTCAGATAGGCCAAGTACCTGGCATAAAAACACAAAAGCAAGTGTTTGCTGGATGACTGGCTGGTTGCAGAAGGGAAGGACGCGTGGTTTGAGGGCAGCGTTAGAGTGAGGAGTTTAGACACGCCTGATTTTCCACAACTATTTCTATCGAAAGAGATACACTCAGTGGGATTCAAAACCACCAATTTGTGTTTTTAACTCTAGCCAATCTCCTAGGTAGAAAACCATGTAAGTAAGCTTCAGGTCTAATTTAGGATAGATTTGCGCTTGTATAGAATCCCAAACAAACAAAAGAAGAAGATCACGCTAGGAAGAAGAGAGTGCATTTAAAACCGACTGGAGTGCTTGGATTCAATAGCTGCAAACAAAGAGGGCACAGAGGAGAGAACAGTCAGTCCCAGCTGGGGTTGGGAGCCCACAGGGTCAGGTGAGGTTGGATTCCGGGCCCCAGTGGAAGGCAAAGCTGAGGTTCTGGCAGGTTGAACCAGCGCTTGTCTCCTGGGCCGGCAGGTCAGACACTGGCTCATGCAGCCAGTCAGCAGCTGAAGTCCTAGATGTCTGAGCTTCCCAGAGGCCCTGCAGGGGACTTAGCACCTCCATCTGGCTCTGAGTAAAGGCCAAAGGCAGAAGTATTCTGCAATGGCGTGGGAGACGGCAACCAGAGTCTCTGGTCTCAGGTC